CAAACTAATCCCCCGCCACCACCTATCGCGCTTGACGATTCTGGCGAAAAATTGTTTTCTATCGAGGCGATTGTTGACTCCAAGCGAAGCAAAAATAAGAAAATATTTTATTATTTAATCTTATGGCGTAGAAATGACCCTGATGACCAAACATGGGAGCCTCTTGAGAACGTTGTCAACGCTACATCCTCCATCCAGGAGTTCGAGAGACGGTTCCCTAACAATTTGAAACCAACAAAGCGCGAGATTGAAACAGCAAAGAGGAAAGCAAGATATTCTACAAAGATATTGTCGAATAATGCGAAAGAAGAGGGAGTAAGGCGGTACCATATGACAAGGAAAGAAGCTTAGATAATATCACGTGAGATAGTCTATTTGAACAAGGGTACTGCTTTATATATGTCTTAGTTTTGTATCTGTAAGGATTCTTTCTCTCTATGTAGACAATCTTATCAGCCTGATTCCACATTGTCAATCTAGCCCTCCCATTTTCGTGACAGTTTTCAGCTTTGGATTTTTTGTGGGCGCCAAGACCAAGATTTCCGCTAATTAGCCAGGAGGGCTTCTATTGTCAATGAGTTAATGGCACTCCCCAGCGCCCTGGACGGCACAAAAGAAGTTGAGCTAAGCTACAATACAGGAATCATGCTCTGTCAAGAGGAGGATGAAGGCTGAATACCTGTCAGTGGTGTCCTCTTCGAACCTAGGAGTGAAATATTCTCCCAGATCCGAGATCTAGTCACGACATAGGGTCAATTTGAGAGTTTTCGTCGAGTTGGCAATCGGGAGGTGTGATCTTGGATCATTTTTGGTCGAAAATTCGACTTGCAGAGATTTCTCGATTTCACGACCGCACAATTCAACGAAATCAACCATCTACACCCCAGATACGAATCATAGTCAGGCTTCAACTAGTATGATGTTCGTACTACAACAACCGACACCTTCAAGATTTTATTTTATTTTTTTCTGGAAAATCGTTCCCAGATATACTCATCTCGCGACCCTCTCCACAATCATCTCACCACCTACCGAAGCAATCTCATACCTCCAAAAGTCAAATCACCAACAAAGAAGCAGGGGGATGTCCAACCTTCCACAACTGCCAGTCGCTGTGAATGTGCGGTCGAAATACCGGCCTTACGTGCGTCCTCACCTAGGCCAAGGGCACCAACAACTCGACCTGCGACGAATCGCCACCGACGAAATACGTACGACATTTCGCCAGCGCACCAACTAGAGCATTCGACAAAGGCTGGTGCACCAGTGCCTCGGTCTTGAGCTCTCAGTCGCGTTTTCGACCTCCACAGTTAGAGGTACGGCAGCGACGTGGCAAGGCCGGAGAGGTGGACATTCTACAAAGTTTCTTGGATGACGATATCGGCTGAAGAATAGAAGGATGCTACATGAAGGAACCAGAAGGGAATACAAACTGAGGAGGCCTTGGTGGGCGACTGGATGAGGCCTCCAGTGAAGAAAACGACCCCTAGATGAGATGAGGAGATGCTGAGATGAGCCAAAGCTGGGACTGAATGGAAGGGAAAAGTTACAGATGGCGAAGGTGTTAAGGGCTCGGGCGCGTGGTGGCCGAGGCTGAGGAGTAATTTGCGCCTTGGCGCGCCAAAAGGGGGTTCTCTGGACGTTTGGGCTTGATAAGATTCAACACATGGGTGAAGTCTGAGGTGGTCCAGTCATTCAGGTGGGACGAGGTAGATGTACTTAATGGTAGTTAACCTGATCCAGCACGGCCTCACTAGTGCTTAAGCTCTAGTAGGAGTGCAACGGCAGTCACTTTACCTAGCACGTATATAAACAAAACAAACAAAAAACGCTCTGTCAAAACTTTTCTGACTTTCCGACATTTCAGCACGATCTTCGTGAAGGAGTTGGAAGGAGGCTAGAAAGACAGAGGGTGAATTTCCCAAGGTACCCACAAGTCGGAAGCTTCCAGCTGGCCGGCCTCTTCGAACGCATCAAAAGGGTCACTATGTCTTCGGATTTAGTCCTAATTTCGGTATTAGGAGAGCTCCGCACCCAGTGGTTTTTGCAATTTTTCCCGGCTGCCATACACTCACAAATGGCCATCGCTTCGTTAGTTGGAGAGGGGAGATAATGAAGGGCAAAGGGCTCCTTTAAGTGTATGATCGAATGAGGACTTGCGAGTGGTGGTGCTGTTTGAGGGAAGCTGTATGGGAGACATAGGAGGGGATATACTACTGGCATAGGTATCCTTGGCCTGTAAGCAGAGGAGACTTGCACTTCCTACATAGTCATAGACCTAGAAAGGACAAGAAAATGAATTAATAATAAATCACATGGGTTGCAGATTCCTGTTACTTTTCTCCTTTGTAAATACGAATCAAAGCTCATGAGCTCGCTTCGAATTTGGGTCGCTAGGCTACTTTGCCCCCCGTCAGGTTTTTATTGAGGGAAAATGGGGATTCCTGGGAACTTATTCTTTGACGTCCAGAATGCTGGCATTGATTAAACGTAGCTCTGTTCCAAGATTCAAGATCTACGGTAGTTAGATTTAGGGGCTGTCGACTTAGACTTAGGGTGGAGCAAGATTTCGCCCATTTTTGATATCTCACAGCCTTCACAGCTTCTTCCTATAAGTCCTTGGATTGATGTTCTAGATTTATTTATCTGATTTTATAGTCTACCGGGCTTTCTCTAGAAGTACAGCCTCATCCCTGTGGGGAGATGATGACTACAAAACCTTATTTTTCAATACAATTTGTGGAGGCTAAGAAACCTTGAGAAAACCCTTGGAGGTAATGCGAGCGCTGTATGGCAAATTTTTGACATGAGATATTTGAAACTGCATAGGTCATGCAGCATTCAGACAGAATGAATGAATTTTTAATCGTGACGGGCACAAGTCTAGTACTCGTAGAGCATGAAACCGAGGAGGCGAATCCTTCCCCAACGACTGTTTACGACGAAAACTCATTTGAAAATTTCGATTACTCATGAAATGAGTGCATTCGCTGATATCACTCGAGACCTTTGTACTAGAGACTCTCGCCCTTTCCTCACCTGTTAGTATCCACTAAAGGGAAAACAGGAAAAGTCTTTGACTATCCTAACGTGCCTCTGTCATCTTGTATATAGCCGCCGCGTGAGATATGGCCTCACAGTCCTCTCTTTCTCGAGTGAGGTAGGTTTCCAGACTACCCAGACTTTAATTCGAGGAGATGACGACCAGGAGGCGGACCAAAACACCTTCCATCAATGCCTGTTTTTAGAGTGTCTGTTGCACTATCCGAAATCGTTGCCCCTGCGCCCACAGACAGGCTTAAGTCGAAAACACTCAAAAAATGTGAGTCCCAGCTTGCCCATTTGTGACCTCTTCACTCCTTCGTCCCACGTCCCAGCTGCCTATCGTTTCTCAATGTGAAGCCTCAATAGAGCAACAATCCCTCATAAGCCAAGACACCTACTTTGTAGATTATGACTTAAATTCCTCCTCGCGAGTACACATAGCCTCGTAATTTTATAGTGGGAAACAGCAATCTTTTTAAGAGGAAAATTCCCGACTGCATTGGAGTAACGCTATTATCGGTTTTTGAAGCGATGTGGTGTAGTAAGATTGAGGTGGAGGACCCGCGTGACAATGATAGATCAAACATTTGTCGAGAAGTTGTCGATTCTAGATATGCTCGAGGTTGCTCTCAACTTCGATTTGGATGCGATTCTCCTTGGCTATCCCAGATATGCAGAGCATACTGAGCAATTGTACCGACACTACTGGAAAGTGAATAATTCTAGACTTCAGACAGAAATCTAGTCTTCTTCGATATAAAAGAGGGGAACTATTCACAACTGTTGTTAGTCTTGTTCCCTACTAATCTCCAGCTCTCACTGTAGAGTCTGCAGAGCTGAAATTGAGTAACAATGTCCTCACTTCGATGAGGATTCCCAATCGCTTTCGCGGTCTGTATCGTCTTCATCTCTCAACACATTCCCCTATCGCCACTATCATGAAGCTAACCACGATCAGATCAGACGGTAGGGTAGTTACCCTTCTCGTCACCAACCCTTGATCATGGAGGAAAAGCCATCCGGTGAGTTTTCGGAGCGTACCCAGCGCACGATACGGAGATGGCGAATTGGATCAAGTCGGCCTCGACTGTTACAAAGAAGGGAGATGTGGATGAATATGCGCACCTCATGTGGTCCCGGTGTCTAGGCCTCGCCTGGCTGGGGCTGCAGGTTTTTGGAGACTTTTTCCCGCGCACGCAGTTTCCATTGCTACCATTTTATTTGGGTAGAAGGTTCCGTGGAAAAGGTGGTTGACTTCCATGGATAAAAACTGAGCTGGATGGCTATTCATCAAGGGCAATATATCAATGATCTTTCAAGAAACATGAGAGGATATCACTGTGCAAGGTGTGGTCTAGTTCAGAGAGGAGCTCAATGTACATGATGTTTTGAGATACTAATATATATGATTAATTTTTCCTGATTTGGCGCCTTGATGCCCATGCAGATTTTTATCGGAAGAAACATACTTTAAGTAGGATGACTCAATTTGACATTTTAGAACACTTATATTCAAATTTTATTTGCAGATATCACTTTAGGTTAACCCTCACGGCGTACAATCACTTCCGTGCGTACCCACCACAGGGAAAAGCGTGAAAGACTTGTGGCACTCCGAGTGCGCTTGTAACATCCCATGGGCACCATGACACCGCAAGAAAGGGTAGTGAGTGATTCCTACTGGATTCGAACCAGAGTTCTCCTATATCGAATGGGGTGGATGTTAAGGTCACCCAGTATCTGCTTGGGAAAACGGCCCGGATGGTGTACCACTGCACCACCCATCTCTTCTGATACTAATTGCATATAACTGTAAAATTCTCTGACGAATTTCTGTCCTTAGTCATGCCCTGTATTACAGGCAATCCTTTTTAGGCTGACTTACAGTTATCCCTGTCGAGGATGGAAGCCACCATTCGGTGCAAGTAACCAACAACTCACAGCAGTAATTCAGTATGACTGGCGAATCAATACTTCATGCCACTACGGACTCTGAGAACTCAGATTCTAAGAATATGGACGAGGCTCGAGCTGAGGTTGACGGAGACTTTGAGAACAAGTCGAATAGGGATCGCAATGCCGATACCTCTAGCTCTAGGACTGATGAGGAGCCCGAGAAGCAGTCTCTTTCCGAATCCCAAGTCAGTAGTGCTAAAAATGGGACTATCGTACCCAATCTTGCCACCAGTGACGGCCTTGAACGATCATTGGGAACACAGCGCCAGAATCAGTCCACGGCAGAACAGTCGGCACCGGGTAGCACGATAGATTCTTCACAAACACTCGAAACTGCGCTTAAGCATCTCAAACTCGGCGATGTTATGACCGGTCTTGCTTCAAAGGGGAAAAATGTCAAAGACATGGCGGCCTACAAGTTCTGGGGTACGCAGCCTGTGCCGAAGCTCGGGGCGAGGGAGAAGGTGGTCGAAGAAGGACCATTCCAAATTGCTGATCCAGCCACGGTTCCCTCAAAGCCATCCTCCCTTATCGACGGCTTTGAGTGGGTGACGATGAATTTGCTCGACGAGGCGGAGCTTGAGGAGGTGTTTACGCTGCTTTCCGGCCACTATGTTGAGGATGACGAAGCTCTATTTCGCTTCAATTACTCCAAATCATTCTTGAAATGGTACCTATCTTCTCTACCGCCTCTACAGAACCTAACCCTCGCAGGGCTCTAATGGCACCGGGCTGGACTTCGGAGTGGCATGTCGGCGTGCGCGCGACAACTTCCCGCAAGCTTGTAGCCTTCATCTCGGCCATCCCCATGCTCCTCCGCGTTCGTCAGAAGACACTGCACGCCTCCGAAGTCAATTTCCTCTGCGTTCACAAGAAACTCCGGACCAAGCGTCTTACTCCTGTCCTTATCAAGGAGATTACGCGTCGCTGTAATCTACGCGGCACATGGCAGGCTATCTATACCGCTGGAGTAGTCTTACCCAAACCTATCAGTACATGCCGCTATTTCCATCGATCTCTCGACTGGCAGAAGTTATATGAGGTCGGATTCAGCCCTCTGCCACCTAAAAGCAAGCCCTCTTACCAAGTACGGAAGTATATGCTTCCTGACAGCACGTCGACAAAAAATCTACGACCCATGGCCATCAACGACATCGATGGAGTATTCAGCCTTTTGAACCGTTACCTCAAGAAGTATGAGCTCGCGCCCGTTTTTAGCCGGGTCGAAATCGAACACTGGTTAGTGAACAAGATCGAAAGTGCGAACGACCAAGTCATCTGGTCGTATGTAGTCCAAGTCCGTCTAACACTCCCGCCTCCGTTGCTCAAACTAACCAGGGTAGGACCCTACGACTAACGCCATCACCGATTTCTTCTCCTTCTACTGTCTCGAATCGTCTGTCATTAACCACTACAGGCACAAGAATGTTCGCGCCGCATATATGTTCTACTATGCCACGGAACACGGTCTTTCTGAACAGTTTTCACGCCCGGAATTCGCTACTCATCTCAACCTTCTCATCAATGACGCCCTTATTCTAGCCAAAAGCCACCACTTCGATGTCTTCAATGCGCTTACCCTCATGGACAATAACCTCTTCCTCGAACAGCAAAAGTTTGGTCCTGGCGACGGACAGCTTCACTATTATTTGTACAACTTCAATGCAAATCCCATCGCCGGAGGTGTCGATCAGAAGAACTCTATTGACGGTCTCAGTGAAGTAGGTGTAGTCATGCTGTAGCTGAAACTCTACGATCGGGCGCCACAAGTGATTCAATGGATGTAACATGAGGTAACCAGGCACTCGAGGCAAGTTTAGAGACGAAGCTATATGAGGGAAGCGGCAGTCGGAGTCATACATCTTCTCCGTCGGACCTGCTTCTATAGCTTTTGTATAGACGTCATGTCTTTCGAAGCATTACCACAATAAAAATGCATCGCTCTACCCTAACTTTGACCTCTATCAAGGGCGCAGTTGTCCTGTGATAATTCGATCTATGGATCACCTGCAATTTTGACAGACACGTAGAGCGTAGGATGAGTTAATCCTACCAGTGACCCTTGAGTTGCCTGAAGTACATGTAAGATAACATGGGTATGAACAGTTAGAAAGTTGGAAGTGGAGTGAACATTTCACAAGTAGATGTTAGCGACTAGACGATAAAGATGATATTTCAATTAAAGATAAGGACAACAGTTCTCAAACGCCTCAAAACGCTCAAATAATTATCATAATACTAGTCCTAGTTTCGAAGGAACGATAGTCTATTACAACTATCGCATAGACTGATCCCAGTAGTTTCTCTATGCGGGGTTACTTTATCACGGGTTTCTTCTGAGTGATCTACCTAGTGAGCACCCATCATGAGTGCTTCATTCAACTTGGCGATCTCTTCCCGAGCTCTTATGTCTTCAGGATCCTCACATATAGGAGACCTATCTAATGCTAGTGAGTTTATAGATCCAGAATTAGGTATTGTATGGTGAGATGGCGACGAAGGTGGCTGGGAAGTTGTTGGTACAGCCAGATCAGCCTTGAATACTTTTCGAATAGCAGCGAGAGGAGACTTGATTATGGGTGACTTTTGCTGTGGTTCAGTTTTCACTATCATCTCTTCCCCGTCGAGCTGACTCTTTGATTCAAGTACAGGAGAGGTAGTTTTGCTACTACACTGAATTTCTAGTTCAGTCGTAGCTTTGTGAATAGTGAGCTCTTCGGAAACTAGTTCATGATCCTGATCGTTGTTATCTATTTCCACCGTTAGATCTACTTTTTTGGTCTCGTCTACTGGTATCGCTTCGATGCAAGTTTCGGTTTCCTTGGAGGCTTCAGATTGGTTACTCTCGACTGCTAGAAGAGTGGGGTCAGGAGTTTTCTCATCGAGAGGGTTCCCAATTATCTTATTAGTAGTTTCTAAATAAATCTCTTTGTCGAGATCAGCACTCTTTATACTGATTGAATTTGTTTCTAACTCCTGATCACCTTCGATTTCTTTTTCCTCGCTAGATTCTGACTTCATCGTTACTGAAAGCTGTGATATATTTTCTTCCTCGTTCGAAATGAAGTTGAAAGAACAAGATTTGGTCACCGTCTCGGGTTGAATTGTTTCATTTGAAGGTTCGGTACTTTTTATAGATTGAATAAGTTGAGGTGGCATCACTGGGGTTTCTTTATCGAGCTTGAGACAAGTCGGAGATGGGGTTTTAACATTTTCATGACCAGGTGAGACTATTGTAGTTGAAATAATTATGGGATTGCAATGCTCTTCAACCTTAATTTTAATGAATTCTTTCCTTCCATTGGTTATGGAGGAATTTGTAACGCTTTTCTTAGTTTGGGCTTTTGTCGTGATTCTTAGCCCATTTTTGGTCGCTGGACGAGAGACAGGCTTGATTTGCTTAATAGGTAATGGCTTCTCAGCACTCTTAGAGGCAGAGGAAGTGGTCGGTCTCATCATACGAGCCAGAAAACTTTCATCAGTAGCTACGTGAGAAACTAAGCTCTGTCTGGATGACTTCCTACTTAATTCTCCTAAGCCCAAGGACGGTCGACTGTTATCGCCTTTCAATGCAGAAGAGCCTCTTGACGATATGCTCAAGCGACGAGATGAGCGGCTAGGGTTTTGTAGCTTTCCCAACGTGTCATGCGAAGTCTCAGTTTTTGTTACAGCTCGAGAAACTTTAGAGCTTGAAGAAGCTGTCTGAGTAGTGAGAGAAGTAGGAAGCTTTACAGGTTTAGTGGGTGACTTTGGTTGGGGTTTCTGGAAGCGAGATTGTATTCGCGAAGGCGATGCATGGCTCTTCATTCTCCCAGTAGATCTTGGGGTAGATTCTTTTGGGCTGTTGGGAAGGTTTCGAGAGCTGGTCTTCGTCACAGATACCTTGTTTTGTTTTGTGATGGGATCCTTATCTTCTTGTGTTCTTCGTGAAGGAGTGGCAGGCGACTTGGGCAGAACATTTTGAGGGTACATTGGAGATTTTTTCGTTTTTGAGTGCGATAACGATGACACAGTTTTGAGTGAAGCTTTGTCTACCACATTTTTTGGTCTCTTTGCGAGGCTATTCAATGTCGTGGGCGATTTTGTCACACTCGTTCGACTTTTCTCGTCGCCTTTTGTCTCTAGTTCCTTCTCCAGCTTCTTTGAATTTTTCCTATCGTTCTCATGAGCTCCTCTGACTAAAACATTGCTTTTGATTATGGGCGTGTTCAGTAAGTTTTTCTTATTGCTCTCCTTCGTGATCGAGTTTCTCTGAAGTGTATTACTTTCATTACTGATATCTTTTCGAATCCCTGATTGATTATGACTATGTCCATTCCTCTCAACCTTAACAAAGCTGGTCCGAACGGTTGAGAGAGGTCTTTGTGGTGTTTCTCCGATCCCTGTGTCAAGTCAAATTATTGCACTGTATAGATCCCCAAGCCGTCAGCGTACCTGCGGAATTATCACCAGATCTACCTCGATCTGGGCTCGAGGCATTACTGCTCTGCTCGAACATAGCCCTTAAGGTTTGGACGCCACCCGACATCCTTGAGTCCAATGATGTATGTAGGCCTATGGTTACTTCCGGAGTAAAAAATTCAAAAGGTAGTCTTAAGTGTTTAAAGTGTTAATATCACTCGGCAGTGGTGAGCCTGATTACATGTAGCTTTCTCATCCACAAACATATGTTTTAATTTGTAATCGATCAAGGTACATGCAAAGAGTAATGACGGCAAAATGAAAAGATATGGCGAGTACTCAAACCGATTAGGAAATATTTAAGAGGAAAGAAAGTAATCGTGGTGAAGTCTTGTAGGATAGTAACTATTGAAACTACCTGATGGACTCCCGATTGTTTGAGAATGGACTAGCTAAGTTGCTCACTTTAAGGGGTCTGTTACCCGCGAATCAAACGTCGCACATCTCTCTCCCAAGGAACAAGGATTGCACGCGAGTGTGTCAGAAAATAACTGAACTCACAATTACATGATCCACTTTGAATCCAACCATGTCAGTCAGATTACTACGAATTGGTAAAATGTACTCCACATCCAGAGCTCAAGCGAACGACTGACAGCTTTAGGTCTTATACCAGGTGACGGAATTGGCAAAGAAGTCATTCCGGCTGGACGTCGTGTTCTCGAAGCTCTCCCGGCACACCTCGGGCTAAAATTTGAATTTGTCGACCTGAAAGCTGGGTTTGAGGAGTTTCAAAAGACTGGTATTGCTCTACCAGACGAGACGGTCAGAATTCTTCGTGAGGAATGCCAAGGTGCAGTCTTTGGCGCAGTTTCCTCGCCATCAACTGCCGTAAGAGGCTACTCTTCACCTATTGTTGCTCTCCGCAAAAAATTAGATCTTTACGCCAATGTCCGACCAGTCAAGACAGTGAGAACGGCCCGAAATCCCATAGATCTAGTGATTGTTCGAGAAAATACTGAAGATCTATATGTCAAAGAAGAGAGAACTTTTCAAGCAGCAGACGGAAGCAAAGTTGCAGAAGCCATCAAGAGAATATCAGAGAATGCTACTTCTCGGATAGCGAAAATGGCTGGGGAAATTGCTCTACAGCGAGCAAAAGCTAGAGCTACTGGGGGAACAAGTATACACAAGGCAGCTCAAGTCACCATTACCCACAAATCCAATGTTCTCAGTCAGACAGATGGACTATTCAGAGAGATTTCGAGAGGTGTGCTTACCAGCCCATGGTTTTCTGAGATTCAGGTGACAGAGCAAATTGTTGATTCTATGGTTTACAAACTCTTCCGTCAACCAGAAGCCTATGATGTTATCGTCGCACCTAATCTTTACGGAGACATTCTGTCGGATGGAGCAGCAGCCTTAGTAGGGTCACTAGGCCTTGTTCCAAGTGCTAACGTTGGTCAAGACTTTGTCATTGGTGAGCCCTGCCATGGAAGTGCACCGGATATAATGGGAAAAAATATTGCCAGCCCAATTGCCACCCTTCGAAGCGTGGCCCTGATGCTTGAATTCTTGAAGGAAGAAGCTGCAGCAGCAAAGATCTATGCAGCCGTTGACGGAAACTTGGAGGACGGAAAGTATCTAAGTCCAGATCTAGGGGGTTCGGCTACAACATCCGAGGTAGTAGAAGATGTATTAAAACGGCTGTAGATAACTTTGAAACATGCCATTATTTACTCTACGCTGAAGAGAAATGAATCAGCGCGGACGCTCTAAAGTAATATGCACGTAAAGACTGGTGACGAGGAACTGGCTCAAGTTTATTTACAAATTGGAATGAGCTAGTGACCCATTTGGCAAGTGACAGGGTCTAAGTCTCCACGCGACGAAATCGACGCAGCAGGCCTATTAATCAGCACGAAATACTGTCCCTTCAACTGACTAAGAGAAAGGATAAAGACATAATTAACAAATTCTCTCAATGTGTGCGCCGTTGACGCGATATAGTCTTTCTTGGGCACATAACCTGTTACAAATTAGGAAGTCGCGTACTCTAGTCGCGCGCGGGAGGGGGCTGTAACGAGAGCGGCAAGGGTCCAAGCGAATTTCAACACAACATGGGCGCCTTGTGACAGGAGAAGAAGGCTGAACTAACATTAAGTTTCTTTGGGCTCCGTTTGGCTGCAAATGCGCCAGCCAACATGCTATTTCCACGGAGGAGTGAGGTGAAATGGGCCGCTTTCGTTTTGCCTTCTCCTTCCGACGGCGGCTCGGCGTTATGGCTAGATTTATCGGGGGTCTTAAGCTGTGAAAGATGGGCGGGTATTGAAATTGTCGTGAGACAGAGCACGGTGCGCGAGCGTATCAACATGAGGGCCAATCTGGCTAGATTTCAAGATCCATAACTGTCCATTCCTATCGTCTATTGGCTATCCCCTTGGCTGCGAATCATATGCCTTTCTCCTTCCCCACCGCCGCCGTCGGACGTATGAATTGCCTGGGCCATGAGCAGGCCGGTCTGGCATGGTCTGTTCGCTGCCCCTTGCTTGATTCTTGCGTTTTGTACACTTGGGCTCCAATGAGCATCCTCAGCTCTACGCACTCATCTAATCCCCTATACTACCCGACAGAGAGCCATACCGCCGATTCGCCGCTCTATACACTCTCTCACTTCCATGATTCCGTGATCAGTCGTGACAAAAAGACACTCGCCGACCTTCGTCAGGCCGGCTACTTGACCATAGCGATTCCCCTTGGCGATTTTGCTTAGACCCTCGACGCCGAGCCATACCCTTTTTTTCGGCTTGCTGATCATTTGCATCGAGCGCAAGACAGGCTCGTTGTTCCAGTACTTAAGGCCGAGCCAGAGGCGTCGTGTGCTGATATTTTCCTGTGTTACGGGCTCCGGCACATAGGAGGAGAGATTATCAATTGGGGGTGGTATAAGACCACCACGCGTCACGGAGCTGAGAAATCCCGCTGTTTGGAGAGCGAGGGTAATTGAGAGTATTTGATTCGTTGAAGGCACACTGGTGAGACCGAGCCGGGCCATAGAGGCATTTTGAAGATGGGAGCATACGTTGGCAAGATGAACGAGAGACATGGTTGGGAGGCAGTTGAACCTTGCGTTTTATCTCTCTGCTGTTGAGCCCGGGTTTGTTAGGGAAGCCTAGGTCTAAGTTCAAGGAAAAGTAGGCTTAGAGAAGGCGGAGACTGATCCCGTTCGCAAAGAAAAGATAAGGAGGCCTATTAACCGGTTTGCTGAAGATAAATTTACAAACAAACCGATACTACGTCGGCAAGATATTTGGTGTCTAGTGCGTGAAAGCCGACCATGGAGAACGGAATATTCCTCTAGCGCCTCTAGCACTAGCGTCAGCCGCTAATAGCCTGACAATCTAATGTAGCGGCATCTGCGTCTATTAACGTAACTATGGAGAAAGTATTTCTCTAGCAAGCCTGCATCTTTCAAATTCCACATGCAGCGCAATCAGAACATCAGATAACCTCGAAGCTCAACTCGAATTAGTTGGGTTGAATAAAACTAGCCATTATCTGCAGTTTGGCTAATCTCACTTCATCCTGTTTCCCCGACGGCCCTGGGTGTCGAGCGATTATTGAATCACTCTGGGCCTAGATAAGACGCTTTATGCATAACGAAGCGCGTATTACCCTTTCACTATTTCTCGTTGTGCCAGGGCTTCTAATAAATCTCGACGACATTAACTATTATACCCTTCTTGTAATATTTTGTATCTGCACCTCATGACACCATAGGCTCACTTTGGTCCCGAGGTAAATATAATAATCTAAAGGGGTATAACACTCCTGTATATTTCCTTCGTATTCTTCCATGTAATGATGCCTTGTTGAATTGTAACTTCTACTGACTGTGGTGGTCCCGGTAATGAGGGAGGTGAATGTGAGGATAGGTCACTTGTCTGACTTTTCCTTCCAACTAGGCTCTGGAATTAAAGGGATGAATTCGACTGACAAACACTTTACAGATGCCATCCTCATACAAACCTTGATCAATCTGTGATTTACAGACTGCTAGTTTTAAATCATAATCAGAGCTTTGGGCAGTAATATTTAGATTTCCGGAGACAGCTTTTCGGTTACGTAACCTTTTAAGGCCTGAATACCCTAGCCTGAGGCATAATTACCAACCTGCATGTCCAGCCAGCCAATATTAGCTACATAGATAAATTACAACATCATCTCCAAGACCGGTTTTCTGAAATAGCAATCCTGTGCTTTATGAAAGTATCTTTGTGTGAATTAGTAATAAAGGCTTTCGGGATCATTAGAATCAAGGACACAGGAAGCATATACATATTATTTCCCAGATTAATTATCTGAGAAGATTAGCAACTTAATTCAGATAACCTCATGCGATGGATAGTTCAAGGACAAGCCGGAGTTTGTATTAATAAATTGTCCTGATTATAAGAAGCGGAGGAGATGGCTTACCTAGACCTTCAGCTTCGCAATTTATATTATTCTCTTCTTTTGATCATAACCATCATTGGTATCTTGCTACCACAATTATCATTTCTTAATCTAAAAGTTTTTATTCCTAACCCTCCACTGTCACCTTACTCATCTCGAAGAAGGCACATCCCATCCCTTTTGGATGGCGCCGTAACAGAACTAGTAGATACACTACCTCAGGCCGACAGCCTAGCAAATCAGATTTGTCCCATATCCAACTGTTACTAAACCTTTTCTCCGTCTCAACCCTTCAGTTGCAGTATCATTTCAGTTATTGTTGCCTGATACCATTGTAATAACGAGGTTATGAGAAGTCTAAGAATTGTCACAATGGGTGTAACAGTCAACTTGGGTGGATATAGGATAGCGCTTTAAGTCTAACGTGAAGCAGACGGATATGTATTGTATATCTGCTATATTGATAACTATTGAATATAATGGTGGAAAAGGTTGATCATATACAGAGGTCTAGCAGCGAGTATTTATACACAAAGACAATACATACAATATACCATCAATAGCAATAACTGCCAACAATTCAGCCATTCAACAACTATGTCATAAGATATACCTGCGTCATATTATCATACTATCATGTATGGTTGAGATACTGGTGTTGTCATTTCTGTGTGCCGATGACGTATCATTGACACAGGGTCGCATGTCCTGTTAGTTACACTTGCCTAACGCTAGCCATTCCAAGTTGTGTGATCTGTAAGTGGGCCTGATCACAACAGATACTCAGTCTTTACTCGTTTTTTTGTGCAATGTTAAATTCAAGCGGAATAAAATGGGCTCGCTGTAGGGAGAGGATGCAGGTGCAGGATAGAGAACATTTACCAAGTCTTGTATCTGTATTCAGTAGGAGAAGAGGGCAAATTTTACCTTGTTATAACTGAGTTACAATTCAATAGTCGTAGACTCAAATTAGATGTAAATGTAACTGAGTTACAACTTTATCAATATTTTGTGGTTATGAACTTACGGTGGTCAATGGGCCGAAGCTCCTGTTAGGCATTATACACGGGACGTGATAATCATTTGGTCTGTTATTGTATATTGAACGCTACGTGTATCTAATGGGGTGAAAAATCTATTATGTAAAAGATTAAGGTGTCTGTATACTGATTTTCCTCCATTAAAACCAAAAAACAATAATTTCAAACCGATGTTTAGATTCCCAACTCTGTTGCTCTAGTAGTTGATGCAGCTTGCTCTTTATATCGTGGAAGTAGATCAAGAATTTCGTCGAATTTTCGCTTTTTTCTTAAATTGTAGTTTAGGGATATCTGCTTTTGTACCACTGCACTATGCAGCCAAGATTATGTATGTGGAGACGCACGCAAGGTTGTGGAGCGTACAAAGGTGTTGATCGCCATGATCTTCGAGCTTGCTGTTGAAATTTGGACATACCAGATTGAACCTTACACGAAACAGAGTAGACAACAACTGCTGATTTTCGATCGCTATCAGTTTTGATGAGTTTTCGATTGATAGTGATCCTTGTGACGGGGATGTTATTACAGTATTTTGGTAAAATTCGAAGTTATACAATTTAGGTGCCGTCACGAAGTTGGTGAATAGAATAAGTTAACTGATACCTCCAAATATGTATATCGTTGCCTTTCCTTTCAATTTCTCTTTTCGCTCGGGAGACCATTCTCAACACCTGTAAGTGGTGTCCCCTACGAACCTCAAGCTCTCACTGTAGAGTCTGCAGAGCCGAGATTGAGTAACAAAGTCCTCACTTCGAAGAGGATTCCCAATCGCTTTCGCGGTCTGTATCGTCTTCATCTCTCAACACATTCCCCTATCGCCACTATCATGAAGCTAACCACGATCAGATCAAATGGTAGGGTCAAAGCCCTTCCCGTCACCAACCCTTGATCATGGAGGAAAAGCCATCAGATGAGTTTCTGAAGCGTACCCAGCACCCGATACGGAGATGGCGGATTGGATCAAGTCGACCTCAACTGTTACAAAGAAGGGAGATGTAGATGAATATGCGCACCTCATGTGGTCCCGGTGTCTAGGCCTCGCCTGGCTGGGGCTGCAGGTATTTTGAGTCTTTTTCCCGCGCTCGCAGTTTCCATTGCTACCATTTTATTTTTTTTGGGTAGAAGATTCCGTGGAAAAGGTGGCCGAATTTCACGGGTAAATACTGAGCTGAATAGCTATTCATCAAGGGCAATATATTAATGATCTTTTAAGGAACATGAGAGGTAAGTACCACTATACAAGGTGTAGCCTGGTTCAGAGAGGAACCCAATGTGCTAGATAGTCAAAGACTCATGTAGTACAATAAAAACATACACAAACAAACAAACCCTGTTTCTTTGGTCTCTAAATTTAGGACAATATAACAACGAGTGTTGCACATTCTACCCTTCTTTCCTACAAAAATTGCATACATTATCTTCAGCTTTTCATATCATACGCGGATAGAACTATGTATTTCCGATCCTAAGCCTTGACTAGAAGAATCCCGATTCTGTCTCCCTGCCATGTCCTTGAAATTTGAAAAGTTTGAAAGAAATACTGCGTTGATTGATTTGGGCCTGGATCCTGTAGTACTTGCCGAGTTCTTTAGCTTTTCGGCTCTCCTTCTCATGCCAAAGCTCTAGGTTTCAGTTATTATTCTATGCCTCTAGCACTAATTATTTAGCTTTTCGTTTAATAAATGAATTAGTTGTAAAATCATCTCTCTTTACTGCTGATCTTTCACTCCCATTTTTGGCTACTTTTCCAGCTAGCTCATTACCTTCTATTCCAACATGTGCAGGATACCATTGAAGATGAAGAGTGTACTCTTGAGATACCATTCTGGTTTGGTAGAAATATTGGTTGGTGCTATGCTGGACTCGAAGGATGCTAACCTGGCTATCAGTAAATAAATGTAAGGTCTTGTAAGCTAAATTTATCTTCACATATTTTATTGCTCTCAATATGAAGTAAGTTTCGGAATCTGTGATACCCACAAAAATTATATTTGGCTGTTTCGGTGATAGATGTAACTTCTCGTTGTAATACTTCAATGACAACTATATTCAATTTTATCTGGATTCCGAGAAATTTAGAAAGAGATTATCATTGAAAGTTCTTGAAGGAAACAATATTTAGCTCATGTTGTAGTAGATTAAGTGCATAGAGCATACCGTGAAGTTATTGACAACTACTTCTCCGTCAATTTTACTGATTTTACCTGGTCCGACTCTTTGAACTGCACGAAATAAGCTGGATCTTGAGCTTGTACAACATTTCATATATCGAGTCATTTTCAAACAGCTGCGCCAAGTCTAACTACTTCTTCGATTTTGTAAAGCGAAGATGAGAGTCGGGTCTACATATTAGAGTCGTCTAGAAGTAGGTTGTTGAAAACGCTTGAAACATATTATCCTAGTCATGGTATGAATATGTTGGTTAGGTGAGACCGGCTTAATCTCAAAATTTTAGAGTTCGTTTTATATAAAATACTCTTATATATTTTCATGCCTTTTCTATTTATTAAATGGCCAAAATTACTATCCTACAATACTTCGTAAGTCAACAGCCCAATTAAACGAAAGAACTTGGTCTATTTCAAAATCTCAAGCATTTAAGAGGTTGATT